CTGAAAGCAGAGAATATCAGAAAGATGTTTACCTGTGCTTTATTTACTACGCAAAGGCTTTTGATTGTGTCTATCATAACAAGCTATGGTCAACACTGCAAAGTATAAGTATTATGGAACACTTAATTGTGCTCAGGAGGAATATCTACCAGGACGAAGAGGCAGTTGTTTGAACAGGGCATGGGAACAATGAATGGTTTAAAATTAAGAAAGGTGTGCAACAAGGTTTTATTCTTTCACTATGCTTATTCGACCTGTATGCTGAGCAAATCACCCAAGAAGCAAGGTTATATGAAGAAAAGCATGGCATCAGGATTGGAGGAAGACTCATTAACAACTTGCAATATGCAGATTACAACCTTGCTTGCTGAAAGTGAAAAGGACTTGAAACATATACTGATGAAGATCAAAGAGCACAGCCTTCAGTATGGATTGCATCTCAATGGAAAGGAAACAAAAATCCACACCAGTGAACCAATAAACAACCTTCTTATCAACAGAGAAAAGATTCAGGTTGTGAAGGACTTCTTTCTTTTTGGATCAACTATCAATACTCATGGAAACAGAAGTCAAGAAATCAAACAATGCATTGCATTAGGCAAATCAGCTTCACAAGACCTTTTTAAAGTATTGAAGAGCAAGATGTCAACTTGGAGGGTTAAAGTGCACCTTACTCAAGCCATGGTATTTTCAATAACCTCATATGCATGCGAAAGCTGGACAGTGAATAAGGAAGACCGTAGAAGATTTGTTGCTTTTGAGTTATGGTGTTGGAGGAAAATATTGAAAGTGCCATGGGCTGCCAAAATATCCAATAGATCTCTTTTGCAGGAAGCACAGCCAGAGTGCTCCTTGGAGGCCAAATTTAATCTCTCATACTTCAGACATAGTTTCAGGAGGTAACAGTCACTGGAGAAGGATATCATGTTTGGTAAAGTGGATGGTCAGAGAAAAAGAGGAAGATCCCCAATGAGATGGATTTTTAAAGCAGCAGCATCGATGGAATCCAGCGTGGCAACAGAATTTAGGTTGGCCCAGGATCAGGCAGTTTTTAGTTATGCTGTGCATATGGTTGCTATGAGTTGATATCGACTCAATGGAACCTAACAACAACAACATCGTATGCATGTGAAAACTGGACAGTTCAATAAGGAAGATCATAGAAGAATTGACACTTTTCAGTTATTGTGTTGGATGAAAATATTGAAAGTACCATGGGTTGCTAAAAGAAACAGATCTGTGTTGGAAGAAGAGCAACCAGAGTGCTCCTTGGAGGCCAGGATGGCTAGACTCCATCTCTCATACTTCGGACATATTTCCAGGAGGGACCAGTTGCTGGAGAAAGATATCATGTTTGGTATGGTGAAGGGTCAGAGAAAAAAAGAAAGATCCCCAATGAGATGAATTGGCAAAGTGGCAGCATCAATGGGCTCAAACACGGCAATAATTGTGAAATTGTCCCTGGATCGGGCAGTGTTTCGTTCTGTTGTACATAGAGTCTCTTTGAGTTGGTACCTATATGGTGGTTCCTAACAACAACTGCAAAACATCCCTTGTGTGGTGCTGTAGGAGAAGCACTGGACTACCTCAGTAATCTACACTGGGAGGTCTGTATTTCAAACTCACCAGGTGCTACTTAGAAACCCTATACAGCATCGATATGAGTCAGAACCAGCTCTATATTACTTAACAACAAGCAAGAAACTCTGAGTTATTTCTACCAGCAGACATGTATGAGAATATTCCAACAACTTATTCACAATAGCAGAATAACAACTACTAAAAGTTCCATCAATATCAAAAAGAATAACAGTCTAAAAATGTACAGCATTGAAAATTAACAAAAAAATTGGTCCTAATCCCAAAACAATATTTAAACAAAAATGCACACAAAGGAGAAAAGCAATCAAGAGACCATTTTTCCCATCAATCATAAAATGCAAATAAGTTCATAGAGAGCTATATTTAATAAATTATATAGTGTTACAACCATGGGTAATTAAAATATTTGGGTGAATCTCATGAAAATGCCAGTGTTCTCAATCAAAAATGACCAAATAATGGCTATTTCATACAATTCAACCTAAGAGAAGGATATCAAAGATAATGGTAAATACAGAATTCAGGATCAATACAGAATTCGACAAAAACACAAACAACACAATCAAAACATAGACATATGAGTTTAATAGATATTTCACCATAAAGGATATACAAATAGCCAAGAATACAGGAAAAGATGTTTAACAACATTAACCATTAAAAAAATGAAAATGAAAACCACAATAAGGTATCAATTCACTCCCACTAAAATGGCTATTAAAAAAAAAAGAAGAAGAAAATGAAAGTAACAGTTGCTGGTGAGTATGTGGAGAAATTGGAACTTCCATCTGTTATTAAGGTAATTATAAAATGATATAGCAGTTGTGGAAACAGATGGCAACTCCAGTAGTTGAATAAAGCATTGGACCACAAGGTCAGTTTGAACCACTAGATTGGCAGTCAAAACTCATCAGGCACTCCTTGGAAACTCTGTACAGGATTGCTATGAGTCAGAATTGACCCAATGGCACTTATAAACAAAAAAAATAGTAGTTCAGTACTAATGTGGCACTATAGGGTGAGCATTAGAATGCTAACTTCATGGTCGTTGGTTTAGACCCACCAGCCATTCCTTGGGAATCCTATACAGAATTACTATGAGTCAGAACAGACTTGATGAACTTATCAACAACAACACCAACAAATTTGAACATCAGATTATCGTATTGCACAGGAATGCAAACCCTAGGTCTCTATGGGGCAGAAATACAAATAGAAGCTTGTATAACAATATTCTTTGTAGAACTATTCATTATACTCAAAGGAGGGTAGTATTTTGAATTAAGTCCAGTGAACTCTTTTTAAACATTTGACCTTCAAAACTTTAAGTCAAGATATGTTTGCTGTTTCCAGCCACTAACTCTATAATTTGTAATTTGTTACAGCAGCAAGAGGAAACCAATTCAGGGTATAGGTCCAAATTCAGGTGGATGATGAAGGGATCTTCTGGATGAAAGATTGGAAATGTAATCTATACATTACAAACATACTAAAGAAAGGTGGTCATTTTTCAGTGTCTGGATATAGTGTCTGGAAATGACTCATGTGATGTGTACAATTCCACTTTCGAATATCCTGGAGTCCCAAGCCACCCAAAGATGATACAATCACTAAAATAATGGAGTCCTACCAACCACTTTCCTCAAGGCTTCCTTAATGTCCTTGTTCCTCAGGCTGTATATAAATGGGTTGATCATTTGGAGAACCACAGTGTACATCACTGAGGCTACGACTGTCTTCATGGATGAGTTTGTAAATGCAGAACTGAAATAAATACCAAAGCCTGTTCCATAGAATAAGGCAACAACTGAGAGGTGAGACCCACAGGTAGAAAAAGCCTTATACTTGCCAATTGCTGATGACATTCTTAAAACAGAGGAGACAATTTTAATATAAGAGAATATGATTCCTGAGAGGGAAACACCACCACAAACAGCAACCACAAAATACACTAGGATGTAATTGATGAGAGTATCAGAACAGGCAAGGTTGAGAATCTGGGCAAGATCACAGAAGAAGTGATGAATTTCCAGATCTGTGCAAAAGGACAGGCGCAACACCATCAGGCTGTGGAGCAGAGCATTCACAATGCTAATTAACAAGGAGAGTAGGGAGAGCAAGCCACAGAGGTGGGGATTCATGATGATACTGTATCTCAGTGGATGGCAAATGGCCACATAACGGTCAAAGGCCATTATAGCAAGGAGAAAATTTTCCAAAACAACAAAAATAATGACAAAGCAGGTCTGGGTGAGGCATCCTGTGTAAGTGATGCTCTTATTCTGTGCTTGGAGGTTCAACAGCATCTTTGGAATTGCGGTTGTGCTGAGGCCAATGTCAGTGAAGGAGAGATTGGAAAGAAAGAAATACATGGCGGTGTGGAGGTGAGAGTCAGAGCTGACAGCCAGGATAATGAGGTTTCCCAAGAAGGTGACCAGATATATGAACAGAAACAGGCCAAACAAGAGGGACTGCAGTTCTGGATCATCTGTCAGTCCCAGAAAAAGAAATTCTGAAACAACTGTTTGGTTTCTGGATTCCATATGGTTGGTGAACCTGATGGGAAAAATGGGCTGACAGATAGTCAAATGTGTAAGTCCTGAACACCCAGCATCTAGTTAGCAATGGAAGACTTGGGGCCCCCTTCAGACTAATTGATGATACACTACAAAATGAGGAGTAGCAATTTATGTTTCAACAAGGCTTCTAAGTAATTCTCATGTATGTGGAAGTTTGAAACTAACTGCTTCAGAAAATCTGCTTGTATCTACATTATGAACCTAAGTAAATATTCAAGCCTTTTCCTTCACTTATACTTTCAGTTCATTCATCTTCTATCTATTCTTCTCCTCC